CGCAGCAGTGAGGAGCTGTGTCGAGTCTATATTTATAGCAGTCTAACTCTCCCGTGTCATCGGAAGTTTGTCAGCTTAGTGATAAAAGACTTGAAAATACTATTGCAACTGTGCTACATGTTCCTATCACACCTTGCACTCATCCTACGCATATCTGCAATGCCGCGCCATCTTTGGTCACGTTTTTTTTTTTTTCAATCTAACTAAGTTCACTGACACAAACTTCAAATACTAATTTGTATGCCGGTTTTGCTTGTCCAGCTTTACGGTTATTCTCTCATATCACAAAATAAATTAAGTTTATCAATCAGCCACGGTCTTTGTAAACTTATTCTAACTGCCATTTTGGCAAAAATCGCAACGTAGTAGAGTAATGGTCAGAATATAGTTGAATTCATGTATCTAACTCGATCGTCATTTGCTGAAACTCGATTGCTAATTAATTAATAACACAACACGCTGCTGATACGATGGGGTTTAGCCTGACGGACGCCAATGGGATGATTGTCAACAACTTATGTACATGGAATTGTGAACACATAATTTATAGTTCACAAGATAATGACGGTGCGAAATATGTCTGGGTTTTTTAAGAAAATGCTTTGTCACAGAATAATAGTCTGTTAAAGGTGCCAAGTATGAAATAATTAGGGGACAACAAAAACAATTCTGCGTAGAAATCAGAAGAATAGGTCTTCATTATTGGGGACACATTTCAATGGACTTGATTACGGACAATGAATGGCGCAAATTTCACCCTGAAATTCCGTAGTGTGCTTTCGCAATCCTCGCGGATTTAGTAATTTTTACAAGTTTCGCTATTTTTTTTTTTGTCACGTGGTAATTATGTAAACAATGATTGTTCAATTTGTGCGAACTCGTCTCTCTATACTCAGGTTTTTGAATCATATTCGCCAAAATACGGTTCTAGATATAGCGGATTGTACATACATTTTATGACATTGGAGTAGGATACTTCATGTTGAGTGCTGAGGTTATGATTCATCGTTAAATAAGGAATGTTACTTTCTCATCACATTATATATCATTCGTTCCATGAAAAATAAACACACGCATACTAATATGCAGTGACTGTTGTTATGGTTACCAAATATCAATATATATGCTAGAGAGTTTTAATGTTTCATTGATTGGATACAAAAAACTGTGTAAGGCAAAAAAAAAGTGTTTTGTTGCCCTCAGCGACCGACCGAAAAATATGAAATATCGGGTCGCGTTTTTTTTTTCCACGTACCTCGGCTATTTACGATACCATTAGTTTTCACCGACGAGTTTAAAAAAAAAATCCGACCGACCGACCCGATTTTTTAATTTTCCGACTTGAGGGCAACATAAGTTGTTGTTGTTTTTTTTGGCCTAAGTTCATCAAAATAATACCAAACAGCAACCTTCGCTTTTATATGTACTGGCGACTTAGTAAAACGTGTTGAGTTTGCCTTTATGGAAAAACCAGGGAAAAACGTAATGTAATAATATCAACGAAAGATCGCCCTCTCGTGGCGATTGTAGCTTTCTATCCTGACACCAACGCTGGATACGTAAAAACAATGAAGCGTTATACATGTATATTTAAAATATGTGATACATACTCTTACTTTCCTATTAAGCAAGTGAGATTCTGACTGCTGAGTGGTCAGTGTCAACAGGTGGTGGAAATTAGAGAATTATCTGTTGATAGGAAAATTAGGTTGACCTTGCCTCGAGAAGCAAATTAAATTGAAGCAGCAAGTATATATATGGCTTCGCCCTCGCAACACCCCTTTTCCTGTGGTGTTACCTGTAGTTAAATCCAAATCCAGTGACCTGGATCTCTTTTACTGCGCTTGTGCAGTTGTAGTGTTTACAAACACGAAAATGTGACCGTCATTGAAATGAAGCGTACCATGATACACTTCTGATGTGAACTTTTGAGTACCCTATATATAAATCTGAACCGCACTAAATCGAGGACGGTGTCAATAGGGCAGACGTCTGGGCATAGAATAAACACCAAAGCGAAATTAGAACAATGGTGTATTTAGCAGTAAGTTGCCCGGGTGTCGTAATGGTTCGAGTTTCTTCATTCACCATTGCTCGACTTTGACATCATTATTAATTGGTAGTTATCTGTTGAAATACTTCCATGTCATTCAAGTTGCTGCATTGCTGCTGTCAATGAATCAGATCGTATCGATCTATTTCGAATATAAATTACCATATAGTTACTTAATAACTAAATGATGACCTTTTTACATATAATTAAAAACGACGATGTTTGAACGATAAAAGTGTGCGTATTGACATAGTAACGTTCATGCCACTCATCCTGAATTTACGGGCAGATTAAGAGTGGTACACTTGATGAAACACGCCCCGCTAAAACATTCTTCGCTCACACACGTATATCCCATAATGCGATTCGGTAATGACGTCATGTAAAGACACCCTTCATTGGCGGATCCAGAGGGAAAGCGCGCTCCTATTGACGTGGCCTCGGTTGGGCTGGGTTTGTCAATTTGTTTTCCGGGCTGAAGGGAGGGGCGCGTGCCTGGGGCGCCCCCTAAATCCACGTGCCCTAAATCCGAGTCTGTGCGTACCCTTCTGCAGTGTCATATGACCCCCTAGGTGTCAGTAGTTTTAATAATTATGCTAATCGGTAGTGTGTGCTACCCACGGCGATCTTTCTTTATGTTATTTCGTCGTTGATAGTGTCGAGCTCGGCGTACACACGGTACATCGTACAGAAAAGTCCGATTCCTGTCAACCTATTTTGAGCAGAAAACATTTGTACTAAGGTAAGAAAGCAATCTTGTTAGAAATACAAAAAAAAACGACATGACTTTGAATAACTGTTAGGGCATTGCGCGACGATCCCAATTTTATATATATCACCAAATATAGCAAAGTTGCCAGTAGCTTGTATATGACCATTGGACGAAATAACCTGGGAAGAAGCGGCTAATCTTTAGAACCATGCGAGCAATCAACTATCCCTGCGTGTTGATGTACAACTCATGTTCATGTGCGAGCCCTAGTTCTACCCAGGTGTGCAGATCTACGGAACATATCGCAATGTTGCTGTTTGTTGCTGACAACATATTTATATATGGCATAGCACAATAGCATAATTATAACGGCATATACTTCAGTGCCGGATCCAAAGGGGGGGGGGACAGGGGGTGGCATTTCCCCCCAAAAAATCGCATGACGAATCATGTTATCTGGATTACGCATAGTTTATCTGCAATTTACGCTCCATAATTTTAAGCGAAGCTCCCCCCCCCCCCCAATACATTGTGCTGGATCCGCCACTGATATACTTACACCAAATGATTCATTGTATTTTGAAGGATACGCTTTGTCATACAACAAAGTGCCTAGTTCAGACTGATAGAGATGTATGCAGTCTGACCAGGGTCACTTTGAGGCCACCCCGTCCTTGTGATTGTCGTTATCAAAAGTATATTACGGAGAAACACAGCAATCGTGACAGTGATAAGGGAACAGTCACTTGTATTTGCCTTGGGAGGACTGGGGATAAGGAGGGACAGATGATAGGCTTTCTGATCTCATCATTTGTATCCCCATAAACAAACATACTATTTCATGTCTGGATACAAATAAATCATAAAACATAACATTTACATGTACAATAATGTATGTTCATACCCAACGCCGACTAATATGGGATGCTAATGTAACAACAATGTTGGATTGGTAAAACTCATATTATACATGCGATAACATGTTCTTTTTTTTTGGAGAAGATGGCAGAACCTTTTAACGATCGGCCGCTTGTATTGAAAATTCTCCGCCGATTTGTGGAGATTTTGCACGAAGCGGACACGCTAGAAAAATATGACAGGATGATGAATCCGGAAGTAAATCCGAAAATGTTGGTCAAGACGAATAAGAAAATTATCAGACGCGTTGAACGTCAGTGCTTGCTGGAGAACGGCGTGGATCCTGGTGTGCTAGAGATGCCATTTATGGTCCACATTTTATCACTATATGGTGCCGATCAGGAGGTAACATGGCACATTGTTTTAAAAAAAATACGCCTAAAGAGGGCGCCGTCTATGGTCTTTAGATACATGTTCGTGGCCAACTTCCTCTTAAAAACGGCCAGCTATATGGGTTTCATACTCACGACAAATGTACATCTTTTTTTATAATATTTGTTAATTCCGTGATGATATCCTTAATTCTCTAATTGTGAAAAATATGTTTTGTCATTTTTTATACTAGTAACCTAATTGCTTCGGTACTAAACATATATAGGTATCTCAGGTTGACCTGTCTCTGATTTGTTCATTTTGTAACAATATCTTCAGTTCTCTAATGTTGACGAATAGTTTTGTCATTTTTGATAAAACGTCATACTAAGTCTAATTGTTTTGATGTTCAGCATATATTGAGTTGTCTTTTGTGACGATATGTTCAATTCATTAGTGTGGATGAATATTTTGTCATTTTTGGTAAAAAGTGAAGATATTTTTGACTCCGGATAAGACGGCTTCCTCTTTGTGCAGCTCAAAAAGGGCAGCTTTATCATGTTCACCTAAAGTGATTTTCATTTAATACGCTATTCTGAATTGTAATTATTTTCTACATCAAATTTATGTATTCAATTCATCAGCGTGCTGGACTTGTTTCTCAAATTGAAAAAAAAATGTGTACAGCGGAGATATTTCTTACCTGAGCGAGAAGCAACCAACACATACTCAGCGCAATATATATATCAGAACTGTAACGGCTCAATTTTATTTTGAAAATATTATACACCTCTAGTGTTAATAAAAGGTGTGGTTAGCTTTATAAATTATTCTCGATTTGGTTTAGTGTTCTATGACATTCTTCTAAAAATATATTATTATACACGGTATATATTCGAGTAACGTTCATCCATCATGAAGCCCGAAACCAAACGATTCCGTGATAATCGTATACTCTAACATACATTATATGTTATACATGTGCGTATTGCTTTCAGGTAATGGGCATAATTGAAATGTTGATGGACACTGGACCCCCTGTGACAGCTTCTGAACTTGATCCTGGCGACATAGCACCAAATGTTGGTTTGGTATCCATAGAAACGCAACAAATAATACAAATGGAAAATCTCTGGATGAACAAAGAAAGACCTCTCGTGGTGATTGCAGGTTCCTTATCCTGACCTCCACTTCGGGTAAGTTACCAGGCAAGAAAACGTTAAATTAAACCTTTTACTAATTATTTTTTAATCAAAAATGAATCTTAACTCTTAATTTATTCATCATATTTATCGTTGCTAGGCTATCGTACACAGCGATGGCTTGTCTGTACTGTTGCATCGGTACAAAGAAAAAGTAGAGTTTATATTTGTTTACATCAGAGAAGCTCATCCTAAAGACGGATGGAGAATGGGATCGCATTTTAGTTTCATTGAAAATCACAGAACGCTGGAAGACAGACTGGCAGCTGCCAGGTAAGCATTCACTGTCATGGGGGGGGGGCATAGTTGTAATCAGTGACCATCGAACAAAACCTCGCTATTCTTATAATACGACATGTGGATTGTTATAACTTATCGGGATTGGTACAAACTGTGGTGCAGTTTATTTACAATGCCACCCTGGGAAACCATCGTACGACGACCCTGATTAGTATAAACCAAGTTAATTTCAGTCCCCGGGCCAGTGTAATTGTGTGTTTTTTCCTCATTATTTTCAGATCGCTTATCAAAATGGACAAATTTAATATTCTGACGTCCGACATTGAGAGTCTGAATAAATGTCGTGTAGTGGTGGACAACATGGAGGATGATTTCTCGGTTGGTTACGCTGCCTCTCCAGATCGTGTATATGTAATTGAAAAGGGAAAGATTGCGTATGTAGGAAGGAGTATACTAATTCAGTTAGAAGAACCAGAAAAATTAATGACAGATGAACTTTGTGAATGGTTGGAAGAGCGCTTCCCGGATTCTAAACTATAACTTTTGGTATTATATTTTAATTGCATGGTTGTATGCTATATGACACAACATGTCGCCGTACAAGGTACTTATGACGTCACTTAGGTAGCCGTCTCCATGACGACCGATGTGGCTGAATCCCCCAAACTACCTGTATGAGTACTGCATTTGACTGGTGAATAAACAACTTCTGATTAGTGTTTTATGGTTTCCTTCTCATAATATTCTCAGTTTGGCCTAATTCACGGCAGTGCGAGTCGAATTCAAATACATGTATTTAACTACTGACTCGGAGTATGTCACTGCCCATTTAAAGACACTGTACTTAGAGAGATGGAGCTTCTTATTGTATGATAATCGAAAACAACTACATATATTTGATAATGGTGATGAAAAGACGAGAAAACACGATAATATGTTGTTAACAATTTTATTTATAAATATTAATAATGGCTGAATAATGCCCTGCAAAGCATATGCCCCTGTTAGGCCCCGATTTACAGCGTAGGTCAAAAACTGAGTTAAAATTGTTTTCGCACGTCGGCGAAAATGTGTTCAAATATTAATAAAGGTAGCCGTATAACAAAATAAATCGAACAAAATCTAAAATTATGTAAAATATTTGGTATACACTTGGTTATATTTGATGATATGCATACATACAACTACTAATCTCTTTTGTTAATGTCGTTTAACGTCTGTACTCCTACAAGAAGAAGAAATAATGATAGTATGGCTGCCTTTACAATATGAAATATGTGATTCAAAATGGCTGCGATCAACTTTAGCGAATTTCAAGTAGTCTAATGCCTGCAGTATTCCCAAAGAACTTTCAAGTTGTTACAACTAATGTCGTCAACGCGGATGTAATATAAATATTATAATCATCCATACAAATGTGATTAATAGAAGCGAATACCGCTTACATTTTGGACCAACAAGCCTTAAATAATATTCTCGTTTTATTTGGGGTATTTTATCTCACTTTCAATACAAATTGCGTCGGATGTCGCGCCCTCGACGGTGAAATATATCATTTCTTGTATTCGTTTTTATGAGTTCCAAAAAAACTATCAATATATATATATAGATTATACTTATTCGCCGATTAGAACGGAATTCTTTCAAAAACAAAAATACCCCCCAAAAACAAGATAGAACTCAGGCTTGCGGATCGCGTGTTAATAATATTTACCATTACTTGGTGAAGTTTGGCCTGAAATAGGCCATCATAATCTGATCCCATTAGTCAAAAAAACAACAAGAGAAGCATCATGTCATCACAGTGCCAACAAACAAAATTGAACCCTCACAATATACAATAAACACAAATGACTGTCGAGATTTTGCTCAGAGTGTGAGAGCCGCGAGACTTTTGTTCTTCTCCCATGCCAACACGTTCACTGTTCAAAAGATAATGATGACATTGGTCAATGAAGCAGTGGGTGCGGAGACGGAAGAGAATGGGTCTTTATTCGAGAAGTAAGTGCAAGTCTCGAGGTATCTCGCTCTGAACGAGACATCAGCGGCCAATTTCGTGCACAAAGCTATTAGTTGTGATGACATACTGCACTACTAACACTACTATACTAAAATAAGACTCGGGTGATCTGAATTTTAGTTGCCAGGGAAAGGACACATGTGAACCTCGAAACGGATTCGTTCTGCATCCTGCTGTACACCAGCGACGTAGTCAATGAAAGTCTTCAGAACTTTCCGTTGTCTCCAGAATCGGAGGTCATCGCTTTCAATCTCTTCAAGATCGATTTGGGTAGGTGGACTGTCATCGAACTCATGTACACATAACTGAAAAATTATGACATTGAGTTATTAAAATGCACGATCGTACATGTGCGTGTTCGAATGTCCTGTTATTCATTAATAACACACGCAAACATTGTCAGCGGAAAATTACATCGTGGTTGTCAGTCGCCATTGAACGATGTCAACACACCGTCTACTGTTATCATACACATATGGCTAGCAAATATATACTTACCGCTGATCTGACTTTTGTGATAGTTCTGTCACACAAAAACGTCATGTTCCGGAAATCATCATGAAAACTTGGGATTGCAAGATATTCCTCTTCTTTTAATTGCACGAAATGTTCTCTGTATGACTCCAAACTCTCCTTGTGGTACACGAGTATGTCAACTTCCTGTTAAATCACACGAACAAATTATAAAATTATAAAGCAGACATCCTCTGAAAAATGGACTAACGGTTTCACATTACAGCGAAATAGGACTCATAATGGTATGAATGTAATCCCCTCTATATGTTGTTTTATTTACTATGATACCAGACTAATTTTAGCTTAGATTGAAGACGGAATTCAAGGTATCGGCGTGACTGAATCGGTTTCATTGCTGGGACTTTCAATATGTATAATGATAATGTACACTTTCCATTCTAGAATTTAAACAAAATCACTATAATTTCAAAACAAATGGAATGTGGTACGCTAATTCGTTATCCAAAACTGCCCTGATTTTCAGGTCACGTGGTAATGTCATCGTATATCGTGTACTACCCGATAGTGTCAGTAACCGTAATGCAAATACTGCAGATATAATACTTACCGACCAGCGACGGCGAATAAAAGGCGGAGTAATGCGGGGCAACGACGGCAGTTCGAAGTTGTAGCCTACAGTCTCCGGTCTCTGTTCTTGCTAAACATAGAAAGCGGAGTAATTGAATTAGCTTTGTGTTGTTATTATTCAGCGAGGCTGTAGTGAATGTAGCACTCTTTATTAACCACGTAAGTAGGTAAACATCAAAAGAAAAACTGAGTGGACGTAGTTTCCTGGAAAATGTTCTATTTTTGGCGTCACGAAGCCACGGGTTTTTAGATCGTGTCAACTGAATGAAATGCTGTACGCTGTATTGTTAGATCTTGTACAAACTTGCCGGCTGTTTTAACACACTTCTGGTATGTTATGGCCACTACAGTAAACTGAACTGTCTTCATGATTTATACTCAAACGTGTTGACTTAGTGTAGAGCAGCACCCCTTATAATCTAGCGGTAATCGCACCGCTCTTTGTATGCCGCCGTGAACAAGTTCATCATGGTATTTCCGCTATCGTATCGAATTGTAAAATTGTATACGACAAATCACGAGGAGTCTCAGTCAGTCTCTGAATTTAGAAAGTCATCCGTCAAGCCAATATGACGTTAATGAGACTATATTTTATTCACATTAGATCTCCCTAAATCAATGGATTTCTCAACGTCATTAATTGTCATGGTGACTTACGTTTTTAATACGTACATGTTTCTGCCAGGTCAAAACTCCGTAGGTCTTTAGGGTATGTCCTGCCTGTCCCAACAAGCCAAGCGTTTCACAGGTCTCACCACAGCTCGATGGTAACAGCGTCGGTGTGACGATGGGCGTGCCGATTGTTTGTGACGTCATGACTACTAGGATATAGCAAGTGACACGTAGCAGCGAATCTTCAAAATAAAAGTTTGTACAACATTTATGTAAAACATAAACACAGAAACCGAGTAGATAAATAACACGAACACATATTCTCGTGCCAAATTCACCCCAATAATTTTTTCTCACATATTTGTTTCTAAATTTGTTATGAAATTAATGTAGCCAGTAGGAAAGTATGTCCATTTGGTTAAAAATTATCAAATAAATTAACAATACATGGAAAATGGTGCACCGACTCAAGTTGACGAGGCAACCCGATCATGGCGCTCAAAAAGTTAAATATATGTTTTTATCAACTGTGAACGAGAGTCGATGCACAAATAGGAATAATGTATTTTATCTGCACTTATTACACAAACTGCCCACTATAACAAGCTCTTTGAACACAAAAATAACGCGAGTCGATGTTTTACTCACCTTGAAATGTAGTCATTTTCTTCCAAAAATCGAGTTTGAAAGTGCGTTCTAAATGAATCAGAGTTGATACTTTCTCGACAAAATGCGACTGACAATATTTTACACATACTGACCAAGGTTTTTATATAGTACTGGAAAAGTGGCCCGAACCGAATGGTGATGTAATTATCAGGAATAACAACATTTCCATTGACTCACGCTATCCTACTCACAGGATATCCTATTCCGCTTGTCTAAAAATATCAAAAATATATCATAATAGATATGTTATTATGTAAAAGTTAGTGTGACATCGTCATGGCGACACTGTTTAATATATTAGAACGGGGAAATTTTGTCACAATATCTTTAGGACAAACCAAAATATCAACGCCGTGTTGTCATTGCGTGGCGTACTTGAATAGTCAGTATATAGTAGTCGAAAATTCCCGCCCGGTAAATTTAAAGCCCTCGTTTTAAAGACGTGGGTTGCAGTGAACGCACCGGTGAATAACTTGATTTAAGAACGAACTCGGCTCACACACCCAGGCACAGGAGTTTCCTGAAATGTTGTTAATGGTTTCCCGGCATCGCGTGGCTGGTGATTAGAAAGTCACTGAAAAAAACTGCTCGGAGTAGCTGAACTTGTTTCTGCATTACGAATCTCATGACCAGTTGTTTACATGCTGATCACTTTAACAGTATTGCTCAGCGCTATGACAAAGTCACAAATCACAAGCTAGGACATCCCTTATTCTTATTTGTTCCTTTCAATTTATTGAATGGAACATCTCACTGGAAATATCGATAATGTGTAATGTTTCTAAATTGTCCGTAAACATGCCGCGTCTACCCTGAAATAATATTCAAGACATAAATATGACCCCAAGTATTTGAATCGTCACATTACGTGCAGAGAACACCTGTTGATTACTAGTCAACATTGCCTCATTGCGGACAGTTCTGAGCCGAGTTCAAGTTCGTACTTTCTTGTCAACAAGTTAGGTTGGTTAGGTTTCACATACGCCATAAATATCGCGGGAAAGTGTCCCAAAAATGGTGATGTAACTGCCTAGCATGATCACATTTCCATTGACTCTAAATATTTCAAATTTTAACTTTCAAGAAAGTGACCAGGATTATAACCATATTAATTGTGACGAACTTGGGAGCGAAAGAGGAAGTTAACAAAGTAATTCATGACATGAAAAGGGGTAAAGCTACAGGGTATGTTGGCATTCCAGTTGAATTGTTAAAAAAATGTCCCACCGAATTTACAGTTTTACTAGTTAAATTATT